TTCATATTCATATATTGCATTGTATTCAAGTAAACTTTTCATATTCATAAATTAAATTGTATTAAAGTAAACTTTTCATATTAATGAATTGCATTGTATTCAAGTAAACTTTTCATATTCATGAATTACATTGTATTAAAGTAAACTTTTTATATTAATAAATTGCATTGCATTCAAGTAAACTTTTTATATTAATAAATTGCATTGTATTCTAGTAAAATTTTCATATTCATGAATTGCATTGTATTCAAATAAACTTTTCATATTAATGAATTGCATTGTATTCAAGTAAACTTTTTATATTCATAAATTGCATTGTACTCTTCAAATTCATAAATTGCATTGTACTTTTCATATTCATGAATTGCATTGTATTTAAGTAAACCTTTATTTGCAAAATCTTGACCCTGGTAAAAGTATTTGAATAGTTAACAAACAAATGATTTTGTTTTTTGTTCAGGTTTATATCTTCTGTCAGAGTTAATATTTTTCAAACGTTTATAAAAGAAACAGAAAGGAAATATATATTTTTGATTTTCGTGAATTGGTAACTTTTTTGAACCTCGAATAAAAATAAAAGATGACTAACCAACTCTAAATTTCCTACATTTAATTTGATTTTAAATATTGAGACATTAATTTTTGGTTTATATATTCGTATTCTGAAGTAGTGAACCCCTGGAGCCAATTTATCATTAACAAGAATATAAACTTTCAATTCAGAAAAGTTTTGAGAATATTTATTCTTTAAATGTATTTATTAATTTAAACTTTTTTGTTGCAATTTCAGTAAAATTCATTAAAGAGCTAGAAAATAATTGATGGATTTGTTGTAAAATTTAGACAATTTAACATTCTCAGTGAACACATCCTTCTGCATTTGAGTACATCTTAAACAAATTGCACACGTTTTCACGATAAAAACTCTCTAAAAATCTTTTATTTTCATGCTTTACAGATAGAGAACTAAACCCCTTGAGAGAGGAAAAAGGGGGCCCTTTACAATTCTTCTAAAATATACTTTATATTATTTGAAAATTTAAAAAATTCAACTTTTCTGCTTCTTTTATTCATTCATATTCAGATTTTATAGAAACACATCCAGATAGAAAGGCGTCAAACATTATAGAAATCCAACGTATAGAAATCGCTAGCTATACCAACAAGGCGTATTTTCCGGGAGACTTTTTTATATTTTTGAGAAATTAAACGTTTTTGTAAAACATTGTAGCTTATCATTATCATTATCATTATTTTTTAAAACATACCCTAGATATACAACTAACTAACTTAAGGTCCCCCTGGATTTTATTATGTACTATGTACGACAACATAAATTAATGATTACATGGTTATATAAAATTGTGTGTTACTATTTAAAAAAAATTGTTTTATGAAAATGATATGTACAGTTTTATTTTTCAAAAAAGAATTTCTCAAAAATATGAAAAAAATGTTCTCAAGTAATGATTTCGTGTTACCATTTAAGTAAAAGGATTTTATGAAAATTATATCTACTTTACAATGATTATTTATTTTCTCAAAAATATAAAAAATGTTCTCCCGGAAAATACCCCTTTATAGAGGACGTGAGTCAGACTCTAATAAAAACGCATGAATAACTTCCAGTATATATATTTCTTATAACTTATTACTAGAGGGTTCAGAACTAGAGTCAATATCGATATCACACGTGTAGATGTTTTTATCAGTACTATGCCCTGTATCCGTTCTATCTCATTCTGTTGAATCTTGTGGAACTTGTTTAACGCGGCCAGGCATCGTCTTCCACACCTTGTTGCTTTACCTTTCTATTTCTATACGTTGGATTTCTATAATATTTGACGCCGACGAGAGAAAGCCGGAATAGGAAAACGGTTTAGAAAGAACAGAAATGATGAAAGGGGTTTTAAATGAAATATATACTAGTGAGTAGAGTCAGGGAAGGGTTGTGTAGAAAAGCGGAAATAAGTAATCTCTTTCTGAAGCACATTTTACCCTCAGGAGAGTTGGAAATCTCAAGTTATTTAGAAAATAAGTTTATATCAGAATTTAAAGTTTAAAATCTAGATTTTGAAAGATCAAAATGTTTTACATTTTAGATTTATGAATACCGTTCCAATTCACTTTTAAAGAGAAATGGTTTTAAATTGTTGCCCTTCACCCAATCTTTAAAGAACTTAAATATTTTACCTATTTTTTGAAAATATTGAGGAATTTTCTTTATTTTTGCAAAATATAAAATGTTTTTCTTATTTTTACAGGAGATGAAACATTTATTTTTTAATATACTAGATTCCTTTAAAGGCTGAAATGCTAAAGTTCAGAAGACACTACATACAAACCTAGAGTATATTACATTTCTGAAATGTTTGTGTATTTAATTTTCGTAGAAAAAAAAAGAATTTGGCTCTGTATCTATATCCTATATCTACGTGATTGTTGTGATTGTGATAACTTGTGAGTTATCTTGTACTGTACGGTTTACATTGCACTCCTGTATGCCGGTCCATTAGCACCTGATCCAATCAGGGCTCAGTCATGTGCTTGTTGTCTATTCTGAACCAATAGAAATAGTATGGCGATAACATCTATCTATCTATCTCATTATCCAATCAGAGTTAAGAATCCTTCAATAGGAGCTATCAATGAATAGAAATATGTACTTCTACTGAAACTATAGTGATTGAACACTGTCATATAATTGTACAGTGTATAGTGCACCTGTAAAGACGCTTATTTTCCGACAATGTTTTTATATTTAAAATTTATTTATAGCATATAAAAATATGCTCACATTATTATGTATATCATTGGCCTTCCTGTCTGTATCCAATAAACATCAAAACGGCTGAACCGATCGAGCTTAAATTTTTGGTGGCATTAAACATGTACAATTTGAACCGGAAAAAATTTAATTTAACCCTATCTCTGCTGGGGTACTTGAAAACCAAGATATGCTGGGGGGGTGTCAATTTGACCCCCCCCCTCTAAATCCCATGTTTGATGTCTAAATATGACAAATAATACATCATTGGAAAGCGCTTGTGCTCTACTTTTAAAATCTGCAAAAAATTTGCAAATTTGCAAAAATTGATTTCTTTATCGCAAAATCCAGTTATATGGTAAAAATGTTTGCAAAAAAAATTTGTCCAAAAAAATAAAAAATTATACATTTTTGAAAAGCCCTTGACCATGCCATTTCAAATATGCAAAAATTTTTGCAAAATTTTAAATAACCTGATTTTTAATCAAGAAAAACTAAAAATGTGCAAATTTCCTTTGACAGGTTGTTTGCGAAAAATTTGCAATTTTTTTTCGCAAAACTTGTGCAATTCGTTTCCTTATGTCAAAGGCTTTCCAAAAAGCTAAATTTTATCAAAATCTGACAAGTAGAAGTGGGTCAAAACAAAGATTTAGATTGCTACAGGAAAAAGCAGTCATTCAGGCAGTGTGCCTGAGGACTCAGGCAGTTAGTATTAAAGCCCGGTTTTAGGCCTAAAGGGAGAGTTGTGGGTATGTAAGAAAAGTCAGAAATTTTCAACAGCCTCAGACCAATACTTTTTGAGTTATGTGAAAAAAAATACAGGGGGGGGTCAAATTGACCCCCCCCCCCCAGCAGGAATAGGGTTAAACACCAAATTTTTATAAAGAGATGGGGGCGCTAAGCGCACTAAAAACCTAGTATATTAGATCAGTTTCAGAAAAAAAAATGTTAAAACAAAAAAAATACGTATAGAAACTGTTTAAATACTGTGAGAAAAGGAAAGCTCTAGAACATGAAGACGACTTTATAATTAATCTATGATCTACAAATTGATTTGTAGCGGCATCAAATACACTTTAATTATTGATTTCATGTCCTTTTCCTATTCTACAGTGAACCCCTTAATAAAGAATACATCGGAAGAATTTATCAAATGTCGTCTTGACAATTTTTCAATGAGTTTTATACTATATTACGTACATTTCAGTATTTGCGAAAATAAATAAATATCCATGAATTTGCGGGAACAGTTTTAAAGAGTGTCATATAATCATTTAATTAAAAAACTAAATATCTGCAACATTCCATTATCAGAAAGTGAAGAATACGACATTTGATGAATTCTTTCGATGTATCCGTTATTACGGGTTTCACTGTAGGTTTTCTGGTTCTCACTGAACATTTTACATGCAAAAATATATTTTCCATCGACTCTGAAATTTTCATACTTTTCCTATAGCTCCGAATAAACATTTTCTATCTCTGAAAGGACAGAAGAAAAGAATTTGTCCTATTATGTAGAAAATCTCAAGCTTCCTTGCTTCAAAATATGAAATCTTAAACCCTTTTTCAACATTTTCCTTTTAGACAAGATCTGCAATCTAAACTACAGGGTGTACAAGATCTGCTCACTCTGCAATCTAAACTACAGGGTGTACAAGATCTGCTTACTCTGCAATCTAAACTACAGGGTGTACAAGATCTGCTCACTCTGCAATCTAAACTACATCTGCAATCTAAACTACAGGGTGTAAAAGATCTGCTCACTCTGCAATCTAAACTACAGGATGTACAAGATCTGCAATCTAAACTACAGGGTGTACAAGATCTGCAATCTAAACTACAGGATGTACAAGATCTGCAATCTAAACTACAGGGTTTACAAGATCGGCTTCCTCTGCAATCTAAACTACAGGGTGAACAAGATCTGTTTACTCTGCAATCTAAACTTTAGGGTGTACAAGATCTGCTTACTCTGCAATCTAAACTACAGGGTGTAAAAGATCTGCTTACTCTGCAATCTAAACTACAGGGTGTACAAGATCTGTTCACTCTGCAATCTAAACTACAGGGTGTACAAGATCTGTTACTCTGCAATCTAAACTACAGGGTGTACAAGATCTGCTCACTCTGCAATCTAAAAAAATTGTCGCATGACTTTTCAAAAAATTTACCTGGTTAAATTAGCTGAAAGGGACTGTAAGCGTAATTTCAAGTGACCCCCTTTGCAAAGATGGCGATGCCAGATTCACAAGTCGGTACCCAAAAAGCTTAATCTGATCAAGTATGAGTTAGATATTAATGTAAATAATTATTTTAAACTGATTAATCTCAAATTTAGACAAATCCCCAGAGGGGTTTATATATGTCTACCTGCCCGCCTATATAGCTGGACTGTACACTTACAACTGTTTACTAATAAATGACAGAAGATTATGGCCTGGCTAACATATAGATATCTGTAGTAAATATCGTAATAACCCGAATTCATATGTCTTGTATATATAGCTATGTTAGTTAATTTCTGAACAGACCTATCAGTCCATATTATTATCATGTACCATAAAGCCTAAAATCTATATTAGTTGAATACGGTATTAGGTAATAAGTTCTCGGTACAGAGTATAGAGTGTGAGCGAGCAACTTGTATCTCGATTGATATATACTGATGAATACAGAGAGTGTTGTATCTGGATTGATACTTACTTGAGCATAAATAGAGTTATATTAGGATTGATACCAACTTGAGAATACAGAGAGAGTTGTATCTCAATTGATAGATACTGACCAATACAGAGAGTGTTGTATCTAGATTGATACAGACTAAAATATTATCGGAGAGTTAAGAGTTAGAGAGCGAGATGTATCTAAATCGATACACACTCAATAATACAGGGAGAGTTGCACCTGGATTGATACAGTCTAAAGTATTGTTGGAGTACGGCATTTAGTACAAAAGTGGTAGTAGTTGCGAGATCTATAAACCCTAGTTAAATGCCAGGGACTCTAAGGTGGAAAAGTAAAGTAATTACCTGGTTTAACTGGTAATAAAAGCAACTGTGTCAGAGAAAACAGTAACAGTGCAGGAACAAGTAAAGACTGAAACCAGAGCGTATAGAGTACCAGAGTGTACAGAATACTAAAATGTACAGAATACCAGCGTGTACAAAGTACTAGAGTGTACAGAGTTTCAGAATGTTAAGACCATAGAGTACCAGAGTTTACAGGGTAACAGAGTATACCAGAAAGTACAGAATACCAGAGTGAACAGTGTACCAGAGTGTAAAAATGGACAGTTTTACACTCTGGTACTTAAGTACTAAAGTATTATTGGAGAGTTAAGAGTTCGAGAGCGAGTTGTATCTGGATCAGTACACACTCAAAAATATAGGGAGAGTTGTACCTGGATTGATACAGTCTAAAGTATTGTAAGAGTAAGGCATTTATTAAAAATCTATATAATAAAGCTCTTCACTCATATATATTAGGGTGTATTATGATGTATATATATTCATATGTCAGCTATAGCCGGCTAAACGGATGGACCGAATGGGCTGAAATGTTTAAGGGAACCCCTAAGTACCTTGGGGGTAACACTAACACAGGCCGAAAAAAAAAAATTCTTCTGAAAAAATGATTTAAAAAATACCACGGGCAATGTCGGGAAATTCAGCTAGTATTTAATTATCAGATATGCGTTTCACTCTTCGTGTCATAGTTGTTGACCTACACACATTAGTAAATCGGGTTTGCATACATTGCGCTCTACGTTGCAAAAACTAGAAAAAGAGCCAAAAAAATCTTAATTTCTGTAACTATAGTTATAATTATATCCGATATCAAAAAATGATCAGAGCTGAAAACTTTCTAATGGGATATCATTAATCCCGATCAGTTAATTAATCTGGAAAAAGAGGATATCTAGCATTAATCCCGATATCCACCATTCAAAAGTTCCCAGCTCTGGAAAAAGAGGAGATTAAACATTAATCCCGATATCCACCATTCAAAAGTTCCCAGCTCTGAGCTGAAAACTTTAGAATGGGATATCCTTAATCCTGATCGGATAATTAATCTGGAGATTAAAAATGAGTGGAGAACAAGCAATATTTAATCTCGAGATTAAGAAAAAGAGTGGATTAAGCCCTAATCTTGATATCCACCATTCTAAAGTTTTCAGCTCTGGAAAAAGAGGAGATTAAACATTAATCCCGATATCCACCATTCAAAAGTTCCCAGCTCTGGAAAAAGAGAAGATTAAACATTAATCCCGATATCCACCATTCAAAAGTTCTCAGCTCTGGAAAAAGAGGAGATTAAACATTAATCCCGATATCCACCATTCAAAAGTTCTCAGCTTGAAAGAGATTTATTCTGAAGTAAATCCCTGATTGTGGTTTGGAAGAGGATAAAAGAGAAAGAGAAACTATAAAGGAAAAAGGGATGTGGAGAGTAATATCTAAAATATATTCTTGGTATTTATCAAAAAAAATCGAGGATATTAAAAATCCCAAATTTTGTATGGGTCTTTTCTGCGTTGGATTTATGGTAAAAAACATAAATTCAATCATTTAAAATGTTACATTTATTTAAATATTAGCAAGCAGTTAATACAGGGTTCTTTCAGAATATTCTGGATGTATTTCTGCACTATAGCTTTGAATGCTCTTCAAGAAAAACAGTGCTATCAAATTTAAGGAAGGTTATAAATTATTGATTTGAAAAATAGTTTTTCTAGGAAATTTTTAACTTTTGAACAAACTTTCATTTTGATCGTTTTGAATATAAATATTTTGTCAATCATATCATATATAATTTACAGAAAGAAATAAATTGATTTGACTTATTTTCATTGAATAGATAGTTTGTTTTGGGAAATATAGTTGAATAAAGCTAACTTTGAAAGGTTCCATTGAGACCCTCCCCCCCCCTCACACAAAGAAGGGTGGCCCAAAAAGATAACGGATTTTGTAGCTGTAATTAATTACAGAGAATAGTCTAAATATCAGTTGATGGTTTCATCATCAGTCTCAGAGAAGATACTTCAGAATAATCTTTCTTTTTATTCCTTGGCACAGATTCATTTTCTTTACAAACCTTTCTTTCTTAGACCACAAAGATGATTCAAGAAAAGAATTGGAGGATTGAGATGGTTTTAAGGGAATTGAGATGATTTGAAGGGAATTGAGATGATTTGAAGGGAAGAGATGATGGTTTGAAGGGAAGAGATGATGATTTGAATGGACGAGATGATGGTTTGAATGGAAGAGATGATGGTTTGAAGGGAAGAGATGATGGTTTGAAGGGAAGAGATGATGGTTTGAAGGGAAGTGATGATGGTTTGAAGGGAAGAGATGATGTTTTGAAGAGAAGAGATGATGGTTTGAAGGTAAGAGATGATGTTTTGAAGGGAAGAGAGGATAGTTTGAAGGGAAGAGATTGTTTTAAAGGGAAGAGATGATGGTTTGAAGGGAAGAGATGATGGTTTGAAGGGAAGAGATGATGTTTTGAAGAGAAGAGATGATGGTTTGAAGGTAAGAGATGATGTTTTGAAGGGAAGAGAGGATAGTTTGAAGGGAAGAGATGATGTTTTAAAGGGAAGAGATGATGGTTTGAATGTAAGAGATGATGTTTTGAAGGGAAGAGATGATGGTTTGAAGGTAAGAGATGATGGTATGAAGGGAAGAGATGATGGTTTGAAGAGAAGAGATGGTGGTTTGAAAGGAAGAGATGATGGTTTGAAGGAAGGGGGTGATGGCTTAATGGGAAGAGATGATGATGGTTTGAGGGAAAGAGATGATGGTTTGAAGGGAAGAGATGATGTTTTGAAGGGAAGAGATGATGTTTTGAAGGGAAGAGATGATGTTTTGAAGGGAAGAGATGATGGTTTGAAGGTAAGAGATGATGGTTTGAAGGGAAGGGATGATGGTTTGAAGGGAAGATATGATGCTTTGAAGGGAAGAGATGATGGTTTGAAGAAAGGGGGTGATGGCTTTATGGGAAGAGATGATGGTTTGAATTGAAGAGATGATGGTTTGAAGGGAAGAGATGATGGTTTGAAGGGAAGAGATGATGGTTTGAAGGGAAGATATGATGGTTTGAAGGGAAGATATGATGCTTTGAAGGGAAGAGATGATGGTTTGAAGGGAAGAGATGATGGTATGAAGGGAAGAGATGATGGTTTGAAGAGAAGAGATGGTGGTTTGAAGGAATGGGGTGATGGCTTTATGGGAATAGATGATGATGGTTTGAAGGGAAGAGATGATAGTTTGAATGGAAGAGATTATGGTTTGAAGGGAATTAGCATGGTTTGAAGGAAGAGATAATGGTTTGAAGAGAAAAGATGCTAGTTTGAAGCTAAGAAATTATGGTTTGAATGTAAGAGATGATGGTTTGAAGGGAAGAGATACTCGTTTGAAGGGAAGAGATGATGGTTTGAATGTAAGAGATGATGGTTTGAAGGGAAGAGATACAGGTTTGAAGGGAAGAGATACTGGTTTGAAGGGAAACGATGATGGTTTGAATGGAAGAGATAATGGTTTGAAGGGAAAAGAAGATGGTTTGAAGGGAAGAGATAATGGTTTGAAGGGAAGAAATGATGGTTTAAAAGGGAAGAAATGATGTTTTGAAGGGAAAAGATGACGGTTTGAATAAAAAATATGACTTAAAGGAAAGGACTCATATGAAGGAAAGGCATAGTTTGAAGGCAGATATTTGAATTGAATTGAAGGAATAATTTGATTTAAAAAGTGAGTTTATAGAAACATAATTTGAAGAAGCCAATATGTTTCTTTTCGAATGTTTACAAGGCTAATAATTTTAAAAAAGCTTTGAATTATTAGAAAATGATGTATTGTGCGACACTAATTTTATTTTATTTTAATGTAGCTAGATGTTAGTTATCTGAAAAATATGATGTTATAATTCTATTTTTATTGGGGAAATTCTGATTGGTTTCTCCGTTTTAATGGTCATAAGAAGAAAGAAACAAATATACATGAATATAGAAGTTTTAAGGAGCAAATATACAAGAATATAGAAGTTTTAAGGAGCAAATATACATGAATATAGAAGTTTTAAGGAGCAAATATACATGAATATAGAAGTTTTAAGGAGCAAATATACATGAATATAGAAGTTTTGTGGAGCAAATATACATGAATATAGAAGTTTTAAGGAGCAAATATACATGAATTTAGAAGTTTTGTGGAGCAAATATACATGAATATAGAAGTTTTGTGGAGCAAATATACATGAATATAGAAGTTTTAAGGAGCAAATATACATGAATATAGAAGTTTTGTGGAGCAAATATACATGAATATAGAAGTTTTGTGGAGCAAATATACATGAATATAAAAGTTTTAAGGAGCAAAAATACATGAATATAGAAGTTTTGTGGAGCAAATGCGTTGTAAATTCCAACAAGTGTTAGTCTGACTAATGTTCAATTAAAAGATTTTCAACTGTAATTGTCCCCAAACAATTGTCTAATTATCCACTAATGGTGCAATTATCTGGATTTAAAAAGGTATTTGAGAATAAAGAAATCTACATAATTAGTTTTGTTCCTGTTTAGCCTCAGTGAACTCCAAGCTTGATAAATTAAATTCTATCTCTTGATTCATGAGACAGATTGATCTAAGAGAGAAGTTTTAAATTGTTCCTGGCAGGGCTCAAGTTTAATATTATCAAAGAACGGTTTAAAAATTCCTAGCATCAGATCATGTTTCAAAGAAAGTGTTCACGAAAAAAGTAATATAATTCGCGTACCTATATTAGCTAAGCTTTCAAGGCTTCAAGGCCTTTTTTCTTAAAACAAAAAATGTTGTTTTCAAGCCATAATTATTTAGAGGATTTATTAAAAAATTGGCCCAATATATATTATGTATATACATATTGAAGTTTGCTGGCAAAGCATGAAACATAATAAATTGTAAATTTCTTTGTAAAATAAAAGTGTGAAGTTGAAAAAAAAATATATACAATATATATATTAAACTAAGCTAAGATTATTCCCCAGGTTCTACCGTGTTCCCCTATCAAAATTTGAGGCAAATCGGTCAAGGGGTTCTTGAGTAATGATCGGACATACAAACAAACAGAGATATCTATTTTATATGTAACGTGTAGATATAAATTTATCAGAAAATAATGAAATAATACAACTATTCCTATTTTCATTTTATTTCTAAAATTGTCTTAATACCGTACAAGAAAAATAATAATGTATTTTTCAAAATGAAGAACTAACTTTTCCTTCTAACTCATAATTGAATTTGGCGAACTTTTCTATATAAAATTTGTGTGTTCAAAGAGTACAATTTTAGAAAACATTTTAGAATTAGCTTCAGGTTCAATCTAATTAAGGTACTGTTACAGTGCACATTTCGAAAGTGGGAAAGGTTGGACCAACGCATGATTAGCTTTTTTTGTAACTCTACATTTTTAATATCGCTAATCTTCAGCCTTTTTCCTACCATGACAAATTGTTTCTTTTCGGCGCTATTTGTATTCAAAATAACGATTAGAAAATTATCACCGAATTAAATAATTTTTTTCTTTATGCAAAAATTTACAACATTTTTCAATGATACTCGAGTTTTTTTTTGTGTTTTGTTAGAAATGTTCATGATATGATAACCCGTCATCAAAAACTATTTTTTTATCCTAAAGAAGTATTCGATCCAACAGGATCTGAAATCTTTATCCAATCCCTCCGATTATTGATGAAAAGTGAAAAGAATTAAGTCTTTGTCAAAAATCTAAATTTTATAATCCGTATATCTTTGCAACCTGATGGTGTAAACCTTTAATATTTCAAACTTAGACTACTTTTTCTAACAGAATTTATAGTTTTTGATATAAAAAAGTCTGCAACATCGGGTTGCAAACATATAGTTCACAACCCTGCCTAATATAAAAGACGAAAGCAGCGTGAGCTGTGTTTCTAAACTCTAGTATATTCTAGTTCACAACCCTGCCTAATATAAAAGATGAAAGCAGCGTGAGCTGTGTTTCTAAACTCTAGTATATTCTAGTTCACAACCCTGCCTAATATAAAAGATGAAAGCAACGTGAGTTGTGTTTCTAAACTCTAGTTTAAATGAAACCAGGAGAAAGTTGACCAATCTGAACAAAGTTTAAGCTCGGGTTCAACTTCCTATTCATCTACATCAATACAGAAAACAAGTTTTCCTGCCAACTATAGCTAGAAATTATCTAAATAGAAATTATGAAGATTTTACTTGATAAAGGATTCGATCTCGGGATCAACTTAACCACATTCTGAGCTTAGCGAGAGACAAGACCAATCGTTGCTTGATACTAGTCTACTAGAGCCAACCCATTTTCTGCACCAATAGGCAGGCTGATCAAGATCAAAATATTAAGAGAGACTGAAAAGATTCATCTAGGATGAGGATCCGAATTTAAGATGAATTCATTTTTAATTTTGAAACACATATGGTGAGAATACATAAATATTTAGCAAAGGGTAAAGTAAATTTTTTTATGTGTCAAAGGAATTGAGTTTTTACAACAAACGAACATTTTCTAACCCCTTTATCTTTGCAACCTGATGGTGTAAATCTTTGATATTTCAAACTTAAGAGTTGCTAAGTTACAGGAATTAGAAAATCTGGGTTTGTGGCAAAAACTCAATTCCTTTCACTTAATACTTTTACAACGAATTCAAATTTTACAACTATACCACAATTGACAATTGGGTTAAATTTATATTCTAAGTAACACCACTGATAGGAAATTTCAAGTTTAGATTAAAAAATAGTTTCCAACAAACTCTATACTCTTATCCTTTACACTCTATATTCTAGCATGGATATCCAGGAATTCTTTACCATACATGACGCAAATTTATTGCGGGTAAAAAGTAAGAAATTGATCAATCTTGGGATTTACGCAGTTTAGAGAAAGGAAAAGGTTAAAATTAAGAGATATTACTGGTCCGACATTGTGTCTAGTTCCTCTAGTAATGTGCTATGAGATGAAAAAAATCCCGGTTCATTTAAACATTTAAAAGCAAAATTTCTTCTCAATAGCAGTTAAATAAGATAAGCAATAGATTGAAAACATGTAAACGTGCATTTTACTTTAGTTTGGCGTATTCAGGGCTATACCCAATATATATGATGAGACCTTTTAAATAAAGTTCCTGATCTGAATATTTCCATTATGATAGCCATTTATCAAAAATTCTTCAAAATTGTTCAAAATTTTATAATAAAATACCAATTTATTATATTGTCATGTCATGAAAAATCAGAAGCAAGAATTAAGAATAAAGTTACATTTCTTAATTTAAAAAGTTGTTAATGTCTATTATACTGTTATACAAAAACCAAACCAAATAAATTTTATCCAAGAAAAAAAATAATTTTTAAATTTTAGAATGCAAGTTGTAACATTTGTATTTGAGGGTAATGCAGATGTAGTAATTTAAATTCTCATCCCAATTCCTAGAGAACTACAGTTTCCAAAATTTATGGATATAACCGAGCTATATTAGTTGTGGTTCTTTAATCTCGGCTCTATACAGAACATGAATACACCAGCTATGAAGGGTGTCAAACTAAACATGGGAATGTATCGAGGAAATGTCACAAACTCAAGTTTTCTAATCCCGAATCTATGCAACCTGATGGTGTAAACCATTGACATTTAATTTTTCAGCTTTGATTATTTGATCCTATAGAGAATTCAAAGCTTGTAATATCTAAGGTCTTTGACACTGAGATATATAGATTAGAAACTCTTGTTTCCTGTAATATCGTCTTTAATTTTGAATTGATATTAATTTTTACAGTTCTTTACTTTACAAAATATCCGTTTAAGCAAAATGAAATGACTTTTCTCTTAGGATTAAAATTAAATTGAACCCTCTTCTCTTTGCTTTGAACTGGTGGCGCCAAGTCTATATAGGGAGAGGGGACAGCTTCAAGCTTTACAAAATAATTTTTTTTAAAAAGGAAAGCAAAGCGCCCGGCCTAAAAGCCTATTAACGTAAAAATGATTGAACGATTTTAAAATTCAAACAACCCTTCTCCCCCCCCCCCCCTTCGCCGCCCACCCCTCCTTTAAAATCCTCCATACCTTAAAGTAAATGTAGAAAAACCACACTCCTGATTTAACCAAGCCTCGCACCATCTCCAATAGGACATTAAAGGTTAGTTAGTGTTCAACTACAGGGTGTCCCCTGAGACATGACAGTAGCAAGACGACTTGAAGGTCGTCTTTGATTTTTGATAAAATTTAAATCTGAACGAAATTCTTAATATCTCCGGTAATATTGACAGCACAAAAAGGAAGACCACAATTTAGTGGTTCTTGTTTTAAGAATCATACATGTTAATGGAGGTTGACGACTGAATGTCACAAATAAATTTCAATGTCAAAGACGACTTTCAAATCATCTTACTGCTGTCATGTTTTGTGGTTGGACACCCTGTATATTTCCTCAACAATAATAGAAGATAAGAGAGTGTTGGCTGGGGAGAGAGTATGGAACCAATTCTAGTTTAAATGTTGGTTATCAGGGGGATATTGTGGGGTGTACCAACAAAACAGTATTTTTAAATGAAGACTTTAAAATTTTAAATTAT